TATCATTGAATCTACAGGGGTTCATGTACAGATAACACCTCCCCCTCCAGAGGATTGCCCCCCCCTCTCCCCCTCCAGAGGATTGCCCCCCCCTCTCCCCCTCCAGAGGATTGCCCCCCCCTCTCCCCCCTCCAGAGGATTGCCCCCCCCCCTCCCCCTCCAGAGGATTGCCCCCCCCTCTCCCCCTCCAGAGGATTGCGCGCCCCCCCTCTCCCCCTCCAGAGGATTGTGCCCCCCCCCCCCTCTCCCCCTCCCAGAGGATTGTGCCCCCCCCCTCTCCCCCTCCCAGAGGATTGTGCCCCCCCCTCTCCCCCCTCCCAGAGGATTGTGCCCCCCCTCTCCCCCTCCCAGAGGATTGTGCCCCCCCTTCTCCCCCTCCCAGAGGATTGTGCCCCCCCTCTCCCCCCCCCAGAGGATTGTGCCCCCCCTCCCCCCTCCCAGAGGATTGTGCCCCCCCCTCACCCCCTCCCAGAGAATTGTGTCGTCCCCCCTCTCCCCCTCCCAGAGGATTGTGCCCCCCCCTCTCCCCCTCCCAGAGGATTGTGCCCCCCCCCTCCCCCCCCTCCCAGAGGATTGTGCCCCCCCCCCCCTCTCCCCCTCCCAGAGGATTGTGCCCCCCCCCCCCTCCCCCTCCCAGAGGATTGTGCCCCCCCTCTCCCCCTCCCAGAGGATTTTGCCCCCCCCTCTCCCCCTCCCAGAGGATTTTGCCCCCCCTCTCCCCCTCCCAGAGGATTTTGCCCCCCCTCCTCCCCCCTCCCAGAGGATCCCCCCCCCTCCCAGAGGATTGTGCCCCCCCCCTCCTCTCCCCCTCCCAGAGGATTGTGCCCCCCCCTCCCCCCTCCCAGAGGATTGTGCCCCCCCCTCTCCCCCCCCAGAGGATTGTGCCCCCCCCCCTCCCAGAGGATTGTGCCCCCCCCTCCCCCCCCCCCCCCCTCCCAGAGGATTGTGTGCCCCCCCCTCCCCCCCTCCCAGAGGATTGTGCCCCCCCTCCCAGAGGATTGTGCCCCCCCCTCTCCCCCTCCCAGAGGATTGTGCCCCCCCCCCTCCCAGAGGATTGTGCCCCCCCTCTCCCCCTCCCAGAGGATTGTGCCCCCCCCCCCTCCCCCTCCCAGAGGATTGTGCCCCCCCCCTCCCCCTCCCAGAGGATTGTGCCCCCCCTCCCCCTCCCAGAGGATTGTGCCCCCCCCCCTCTCCCCCTCCCAGAGGATTGTGCCCCCCCCCCCTCCCCCCTCCCAGAGGATTGTGCCCCCCCCCTCCCAGAGGATTGTGCCCCCCCCCTCCCAGAGGATTGTGCCCCCCCCCCATCCCAGAGGATTGTGCCCCCCCCTCCCAGAGGATTGTGCCCCCCCCCCTCCCAGAGGATTGTGCCCCCCCCCTCCCAGAGGATTGTGCCCCCCCCCCCCTCCCAGAGGATTGTGCCCCCCCCCCCCGCCCCTCCCCCCCTCCCAGAGGATTGTGCCCCCCCCCCCCTCCCAGAGGATTGTGCCCCCCCCCCCCATCCCAGAGGATTGTGCCCCCCCCCCCCCCTCCCAGAGGATTGTGCCCCCCCCTCTCCCCCTCCCAGAGAGATTGTGCCCCCCCCTCTCCCCCTCCCAGAGGATTGTGCCCCCCCCTCCCCCCTCCCAGAGGATTGTGCCCCCCCCTCTCCCCCTCCCAGAGGATTGTGCCCCCCCTCTCCCCCCTCCCAGAGGATTGTGCCCCCCCTCCCTCTCCCCCTCCCAGAGGATTGTGCCCCCCCCCCTCCCCCCCTCCCAGAGGATTGTGCCCCCCCCCCCTCTCCCCCTCCCAGAGGATTGTGCCCCCCCCTCTCCCCCTCCCAGAGGATTGTGGCCCCCCCCCTCCCCCCCCTCCCAGAGGATTGTGCCCCCCCCCCCTCTCCCCCTCCCAGAGGATTGTGCCCCTCCCAGAGGATTGTGCCCCCCCCCTCTCCCCCTCCCAGAGGATTGTGCCCCCCCCAATCTCCCAGAGGATTGTGCCCCCCCCAATCTCCCAGAGGATTGCCCCCCCCCCCAATCTCCCAGAGGATTGCCCCCCCCCCCCAATCTCCCAGAGGATTGCCCCCCCCCCCCCCCCAATCTCCCAGAGGATTGCCCCCCCCCCCCCCCCAATCTCCCAGAGGATTGCCCCCCCCCCCCCCCAATCTCCCAGAGGATTGCCCCCCCCCCCCCCAATCTCCCAGAGGATTGCCCCCCCCCCCAATCTCCCAGAGGATTGCCCCCCCCCCCCCCAATCTCCCAGAGGATTCCCCCCTCCCCTCTCCCCCTCTTCCTGACCAGGCCATTTTTTGCCATACGACGCTGCGTTACTTCAATAGACAATTACGCGGTCGTGCAACACCGCACCCAAAATTAAATTGATGTCCTTTTTTTTTTTTTTTTTCCACGAATTGAGATTTCTTTCGGTGGTATTGGATCGCCTGTGCGGTTTTGATTTTTTTTTTTTTTGCGCTATTAAAAAGACAATTTTGAGAAAAAAAAACAATATTTTTGGACTTTTTGCTATAAAACATGTCCAGTAAAAAAATTGAAATTAAATTTTTCGTCACAAATTTCGGTCAAAATGTATTCTGCGACATCTTTCCGGGAAAAAAAAAAATCCCAGTACGTGTTAATTGGTTTACGTGAAAGTTATCGCGTTTACAAATGGCGGTATAGATACTGGGATTTTTTTGTTTTTTCTACTAGTATGGCGGAGATCAGCGACTTGTATCGGGACTGCGGCGGCGGGCATTCTGACACTGGGGGGGGGGGGACTGACTTGGTGTCACTAACATCCCCAGTGACACCAATACAGTGATCAGTGCTAATATAAAGCACCGACACTGTATTAATGGCACTGGGCAGGAAGGGGTTAATGTGAGGGGGCGATCAAAGGGTTACCTGTGTGCTGGGACTGTTTTACTAGGGGGCGGGCGGGATGCTTCACTGTAAGCACACTGATCGGGATAGCTGTGGCTGTGCAGTGGGCCTGAGCTGATAGGGAGGAGGACTGTTAGTAAACAGAGGCAGGAAGGGGTTAACATCTCTGGGATCAAAGGGTTACCTGTGTGCTGGGATTTACTAGGGGGGTGCTTCACTGTAATCACACTGATCGGGATGGCTGTGCTGTGCGCCGGAGCTGACAGGGAGGATTGTTAGTAAACAAACCAGTCCTCCTCCCCATTGGAGATGCTCAGTAATCACTAGGCGCCGGCGGGTAACCACCGGCCGGGACCCAGTGATTGACATGGTGGCACGGGTAGGGCGCTCCCCGTGGCTTGTGCACCCTCCCTCCCTGGAAATGCACAATCACGTATATATCTGTGAATTTGCGCACGAATATCCGGCGCCGCCGCCCTTCTATATGGCGGCGGGGACGCGGTTGATGTGTGTCGGGTGTTCATCTCTGAGGTTTCCTCTCACGAAGGTCTGAAGGAACAACTTACAAGCGACAATGAAGAGTTGAAGCAACGAATCGCGTCTCTCGAACAGCAGAAGGAGGAGCTGGAAGTCCGCATGAGTGCTTTGAAGTCGCAATACGAAGGACGCATCTGTCGCCTGGAGCGGGAAATGCGTGAGCAGCAAGAGCGACACCAGGAGCAACGGGACGAGAATCAGGAAACGTCAAAAGTAAAACTTTTCTCATTTGGTTTTGCGCGGTTTCCGGGTTTTTCTTTTTTTTTAGGTTTTTTTCCTGACATCAGTAAAATCAGATTTCTTTTCAGGTCCCCGAGCAACGGCAGATCACTGTGAAGCCAACGGCGGCTCCAGGGGAGAGAGGGACGTAAGTACCACAACATCCGACGCCTCCAGCCGACCACTTCCTAGGGAAGGGGCCTCCAAAAAAGGGCCAGGTTACCCTGCTTTCAGACTTTTTTAATTTTTTACTTGGACTGAGGGCTCCTGTGCACTGCGGCGGCTGAACTGACGTTTAGGAACAGCTGAGCGTTTGTTTTCAGCAGCCCCTGAACTCTCCTTTATGTGTTCCTATGTGTCTCCATGTACACGTCGCAGGTTACAGGCGTTTTCTTGAAAGCACAAAAATAGCGTTCAGGAGTGGAGTTTACCAGCTTCGCAAAAGCTTCTAAAAGCGTTTATGCGCGTTTGCGTTTAGACAGTTTTTTTTTTTTTTTTTTTTTTGGACTGGACCATATCCAGATGCTGTCCAGAACCTTTTTTTTTCTTCATCAAAAATGCATGTAAAGCGTTTTCTATGTATTCAAATGGACCCGGTACACCGGCGCAGTCAGTTTCCAGGTTTTGTGTGAAGGAAAAAATGGTAGAACGCGCCACATTACGCTCATGATGGGATCCATGGTGAATACAACCAGAAAAGACCGGTCATCTCCACACATACTGCTCTCTCTGCTCCTGCTCTCTCTGCTCCTGCTCTCTCTGCTCCTGCTCTCTCTGCTCCTGCTCTCTCTGCTCTCTGCTCTCCTCTCTGCTCCTGCTCTCTCTGCTCCTGCTCTCTCTGCTCCTGCTCTCTCTGCTCCTGCTCTCTCTGCTCCTGCTCTCTCTGCTCCTGCTCTCTCTGCTCCTGCTCTCTCTGCTCCTGCTCTCTCTGCTCTCTCTGCTCTCTCTCTGCTCCCTGCTCTCTCTGCTCTCTCTGCTCCTGCTCTCTCTGCTCTCTCTGCTTCTCTCTGCTCCTGCTCTCTCTGCTCCTGCTCTCTCCTGCTCCTGCTCTCTCTGCTCCTGCTCCCCCTGCTGCTCCTGCTCCCCCTGCTGCTCCTGCTCCCCCTGCTTCTTCTGCTCCCGCTCTCTCCCCTGCTCCCGCTCTCCCTGCTTCTGCTCTCCCCGCTTCTCACAAAATGTCTGAAATAGTTAATTATTTACTGTTTTTTATTTTATTTTGTGCGTTCTGGGCATTTGGGAGGTCTCCTCAGGTTACCTTTTAAAAACGCTTCTAAACGCAGCTAAACTACCTTTTTTTTTAATGTTTTCTAGCAGTCAGTTTCCAGCGGTCAGAAGAGTTTTTCAAATGCCCCATGTACATGAGCTCTAATGGCGGCGATCAGCAACTTATAGCGGGACTGCGGCAGGGCATTCTGACACTGGGGGGGGCGGGGAACTGACTTGGTGTCACTGACATCCTCAATGACACCAATACAGTCATCAGTGCTAATAAAAAGCCCTGACACACTGTACTAATGGCACTGGGCAGGAAGGGGTTAACATGTGGGGCCATCAAAGGGTTAACTGTGTGCTGGGTGTGTTTTACTATGGGGCGGGGTCTGTGTACTTCACTGTAAGCACACAGCTTTTCATGGCTGTGCTGTGCCTC